CCTGAAAAGAAGCTCAAATCCTGAACATAGGTTTGGGTCTTTGGGTAAGGCGTGGAGGTACAGAGGTTCAGGATTTGAGCTTCTTTTCAGGTTTCGGGCTCTGGGTTTAGGGTTTAGTGTTTAGGCTTTAGGGTTTAGGGTTTGGGGTTTAGGGTTTGGTTTTTAGGGTTTAGGGTTTAGGGTTTGGGGTTTGAGAGATAGGGGGATGCGTTTCTGGCTTGAATCCCAGTTGACAACTCCAGCTGGCAGCCTTGACCTACACCAAACCGCCTAAACTCCAAAGTTCCCAACGAGTTTTGCAGCTCGGCTTTGCATCGTGGTTTTGCCGCTTCGGGTTTAAGGTGTAGGGCAGTGTAGGGTGTATGGTTTAGGATTTGGGGCTTACGGATGTGTCCTTTGGCTGCGTGACTAAAGTTCCGACCTCCTTGCCGAATAAAGCCCAGGATAAAGCCAGGCCTACCAACCTTACCTCTCGGAACCCTCAAAACCCTAAACCCGTCAACATAAAGCCCTGAGCATGGGGCACTCAACTTTCTGAAGTCCCTATCCGTCTAAGACCCTGGCGGACAAATTTATCGCACTTAGCTCGGGTGCGACATCGAAGCTTACTTCCTAACAACCCCAGGTGCTTGAATCAATTAACAATGAAAGAATGACTAGCTACCACCTAGTATTCTATGAAGGGCCCCATATATAGGGGTTAGGGTTGGGTTTTTGTCCGGGGAAGTAAGTTTTTGTGAAGAGATATGGGGTTGGAATTTGGCGAATTGAATCTTGGATACAGAAAATCCCAAACCCTCCTCTATGCCCGTACAGTCTAAAAACCTTGAACCGCAAACCCTATACCTGGGTTGAATAACCCTAAACCCTAGACCCTAAATCCTAAATAACCCTAAACCCTAAACCCTAAACCCCGTGAGGGTTTGGAGCTTCCAAACGTAAACCGGTACATTCTGGGGCTCCTCACGTCGCCGTACTTGCAGGCAATGTGGGCATCCGACCAGCCGAGGGGGTTCACGAAACCATCACCGGCGGCATACATGTAGTCCTGTCGCATTTAGGGCGTTGTCGGCGTTGTCAAGAGGAGGGCTTACGGCTTCAGGCTTAAGATATGGGGCCATCGATCACCATCATCGTCACCACTGCTGTCTTCATACTCGCCACCGTCTGCAGCGGCAGAGCTGGAACTACTTGTCCAGAGCCTCGTCATTAGCAGGCGTAACCGTTGCAGCGGCGTCACGATGATCATCACCGCATCGATGTCCGGCAGCAATAGCAACGACAACATGCAAGAGTCCACAGCTAAGCATAGGGATGTCAAGGGTAGCGAAGAAACCGCAAGGCTTAGGTAGTAGATGTGGTACCAATACATGTGCTACCAATACAGGAGCCTAAATACCAATACTATTTTTTGGGGTGTTCCTTGCTAGATTTATAGTATAAGCGACCCCCAGATAAACCCCAGTCTAATCATCAAGGCCCCTACATTCGCCGAGCAGCAATGGTAACAAGAGTGCAAGGAGTCTGCAAAACAAGCCTTCACCCTAAACCCTAAATCCAATGTGGCAGTCCAAGCCAACAGCCCTGCCTTGGGTCCGGTGACGATGCCGTTGAAAGGATGGGTCAAGGGATGCTTCGCCTTCAGTCGAAGGTTTGTGGGGTTTAGAGGTTAGGGTTGGGGGCGTAGGGGTTTGGGTTTGAGAAGGGTACGCTGTGGGAACCTATCGGTTTAAAGATTCCTGTCGTCCCTCCTAACCAGAGACACAGTTTTTGAACTTCAAGATTAAATACTATTTCCAGGGCCCCGGAAGGTTTAGGGTATACCAGCACCCACCAACTACTCTCTATTATACTCTAAATGCCCACTATTAACGACCATAAGGGCTCTGGTAAAGGGTACTTGGGAAGTGCTGGTAGGGTTTAGAGTTTAGGGTTTAGGGGGGCCTCGGGCCATGTATAGGGATTATAGGTGGTTTTCGGGTTTGAGCGCCCTTCTAGATATTCGGGCTTCGTCAGGGATGCAAAATTACGGTTTAGGGTTTACGGAATAAGATTGAAGGGCCAGGGACTAGGTTTGAGTTTAGGGTTTAGGGTTTAGGGTTTAGGGTTTAGGGTTTAGGGTTTAGGGTTTAGGGTCTAGGGTTTAGGGTTTAGGGTTTAGGGTCTAGGTTTGAGTTATCAGGATCCCTAAACCCCGACGCCAGGGCCCAAGAATCCCGAATGTTCGCACACAACAGAAATCGGCTGCCCTCCTAACCAAATTTAGGGGTTTAGGGTTTAGGGCTCTAAATGACGTTAATTTCAAGATCCCACCGGCGCCCTTTTTGGACATCACTCCAACAAATACTTTCTACCGAGTGACCCAGGTCGGCAGCCGGTAGCTGGAGAACTTCCGGTGTCCCGGCCTGTTTCGGGTTAAGGGGTTTAAGGTTTCGGGCTTAGGGTTCCCTAAACCCTAAACCCTAAACCCTAAACCCTAAACCCTTACCCTTTTTTGGGTTCAGGGTTAGAGGTCGAGGATTCAAGGTTTATGGTTTAGGGTTTTAGGCCTTAAGGGGAGATGAGAAGTGCACTGTGAGGGTTGCTATACGGGTTGGATTTGGGTCGAGAGTTTCGTGCGTAGGGTCAGGCGTGGAATTTGGGTGTTAGGGTCCGTGGGCTTCGGGTTTAGGATGCGTTTCTTCTCATGTCACCCGAAAATCGTAAACCCTAAACCCTAAACCAAAAACCCTAACCCCTAAACCCTAAAATCGTAAAACCCTAAACCTTAAACCCTAAACCACCCTTCGCCTGTGACCAGGATCTTACCATGCAGGGTGGGGCATGATCTGCAGCTCCCAAGTAGGCTTGGGCGATAGCTTCTGCTTCTAGGGTTTAGGGTTTAGGGTTTAGGGTTTAGGGTTTAGGGTTTAGGGTTTAGGGTTTAGGGTTTAGGGTAACATTTCAAGAATTGTGACCCTACTTAAAGGATCATGGGACTTAGTAAGTAGGGTTATAACTAAGGTGCCTATACTTATAACCCCAATTAAGAGACTTATAACCTTACTTACTAAGTCCCATGATCCTCCAAGTAAACCCTAAACCCTAAACCCTCAACCCTAAGTTATGGGTGCTGTGGTGCACTGTAAGGCTTGCAGTTGGGATCTTGACCGTAAGCTTCGGCTCTTGCCCTTGAGGTTTTAGGGTTTTTGTTTTAGGGTTGAGGGTTTTGGGTTTAGGGCTTGGGATTTAGGGCTTAGGATTTAGGGTTTAGGGGTTTAGGGGTTTAGGGGTTTAGGGGTTTAGGGGTTTAGGGGTTTAGGGGTTTAGGGGGGTTTAAACGTAGTTCGAGCGGAGGCTGTCCCTCAGTGATTAGACGGTTCAGGTTCGTGGATTGTGCCTGGTGCGCCGAGGGTTTGGGGATTGGGGGCTTTACTTTGTTGGGTTTTGGGGTTTGAGATATACGTATAGTCTCCATGGTAGTTCCTTTTTCTGGTTCAACCAGTTCTATATTATGGATCCTATAAGGTAGCCCCAAAAAAGGAACTACAATGGAAACTATACTTGTAGTTTAGGGTCAGGGACGTCGGCACATACCGGAGTAGGACCTGTAGGAAGACACAACCGGCAAAGTTATCAACTCAAAAAGAATAAACACCTAAACCCTAAACCCTAAACCCTCTAAAGCCACCGCAACCATGACAATGACAGCCAGGAGAAGCATCGTTAAAGAATAGCCAGACAAGCAATTGCCAGTGTTCCGCTGGTCACGATACACTAAACAACCATCGCACTACGGATGAACATAAGAGTGAAGGATGATGATAAGCACGCGCATGACTTGTTTCGACTGGGGTCAAAGAGTACTTCAATTCAAGATTCGCGTCCTTGGGGTTTAGGGCGTCGGGTTCAGTGATTGGGGTGATAAACCCTGAAACCTACATCCTATGAAACCAAAAGCCCTATGCATAAACCAACCCTAAACCCTAAGCCCTAAAACCCTAAAACCCTAAAACCCTAAACCCTAAACCCTAAAACCCTGAGCCCTGAACCCTAAACCCTGAGCCCTGAACCCTAAACCCTAAACCCTAAAACCCTACACCGGAACATAGCAAGGATTTACGGATCAGGGCACGGAGAGGCAGAAGGCCCGGGCCTGTTCTCCGCCATGCCTTGC